ATTCTCGCGTGGCATGGTTCGGTACAACTCAACTCGTTTTTTTTTTGTTTTTTTTTAATTCGGTTCTTTTCTCCGTTCAGTGCAGATTTGTTCCGTTCCGTTCCATTCTGTTTCTGTTCTGTTCTGTTCAGTTTAGTTCAGTTCAGTACAGTTGAGTTTGGTTGGTTGTGTGTCTTGTTGGGTGTAAGGCAAGTCGAATGATTTTCTAGTAATTACGATGCCAAGCGATGATTCGCGTGGGAATATAGCAGAGCATACCGTTCGATAAGCTCCGCGGAACAATAACAATTAAGCCGGCCGACTCGTAATGCCAAAATTTAGTATAAGCACGAACAATGCTTTGCCGATGGGTTGCCTTTAGAAGGGAACGAAGATTTCCACGCTTTCTCGACAATAGCCAAAGCGTACTTTCATAAACAATGGGAAAGCTTTTGAGCTTCTTGGGTGAGAAGATCGTAAGACGCCTTACAAACAGATATATATATATATACGAAACTTATACCTATAATGAAAGAAAATGATAGAGAGAGAGAGAGACAAAGAGAGAGAGAGAGAGAGAGAGAGGGAGAGAAAGAGAGAGAGTTGAAGAATTGTTAAGGAGCTTGTTTGTTTCAAAACCAATGATACACAATACGGTACTTTATTTTAACTCGATAATTACTAATTTAATGAGTCGAGAAAATTTGTTCGTTATTATTATTATTCTATTCGAATAATAGTATAACTGTGTGTGGTGTTTAATTATTATTCCTTTTATTATTACGATTGTCAAAATTATTCAGACGAGTTTTATTTCTTTTATTGTTTTACAATATATTATAACGACAGTCAATTAAATAAAATATTGTTAAACGAAACATTATTCTTGATGATAAGGGTTCATAATAACTTTTATATTAAGTTCTACTTCTTTTTATGTCCAATCAAGAATTATAATTTTGGACGAGAGAAAATACTGAAGAAACATTATTATTTTAAGGATTTACTTTTGTGGTATAATGAATTTTAGAAAAATCGATAGTTCAAAACGATGGATGATAAATCAGTAAGGGAGAAGGGTTTCGTCGACGAACCATGACATCCGCTTTAATAAAAGCTCGACGTTCGCGACAGAGACTCGTTGGGAGGGGGTGGAGAGTGGTTGGGGAAAGAGAAGGGTGTAGGGTGATGGTGGTGGTGGATCGCAGGGGGGTAGGGTGTCAAGCCGACTCGTTTTTTCCTTTTTTTTTCTTCTCTTTTTTCACGGTTTCCGAAATATTTAGCGCGAACATTGAGCGCGAGGATGAAAAAAAAAAACTAAAAAACAAAAAGAAAAGAAAAGAAACGAAACAAAAGGGGAAAAAAAGGGATCGGGAAAATCACTCGACGTATAGTTTAACGTCATCAAAGTCGTTTTAGAAACACACGGGGTTAACATGCAATGCCCCTGTTCGTTCTCTCGTTAATGGATAAACGGTGCTCGTTTATCGAAAAGCGTAAACGAGAAGGAAGGAATGATGAAAACGAAGTGACATAAAGAGAAACAACAGTCCTGGCCGGGGAAGGGAGAGTTGGAGGGAGGGAGGGAGGAAGAAAAAAAGAAAAGAAACAGAAAAGAAACAGAAAAGAAACAGAAAAAGAAAGAAAAGAAACAGAAAAAGAAAGAAGGAGGAGGATGGTGGGTGTCAAGGGTTTTAAGGGGATGATGGTGGTGGTGGTAGACACCCTTATAAGAGTTTACGGTATAGGAGTCGCCTCAGGAGCGTATGATTAAACAACTCAGGTGTTTTATGCTCGGTTCGTGTAGATCGCGTGACCCAACGGCCACATCCGTTTCCGCCTTTACGTACACGGTCAACCCCCTACCCCTACCCTTACACCCCTAACTCTACTCTCTTTCTCTTTCTCTTTCCTTCTTACCGATCCCTTCGTCTTAAGGGTTGCACGTTAACCATCGGCCACGAAAGAAAGTATACTTTCGACGTATCACCGAGCCATGATCGCACAACTACTCGCTCGATACTCCCACGTTTTACCACACAACGTCTCTCACGTCTATTATATTTTTCATCGAGAATCTAAAAGATCTTAGTTACGTTATAGTCAACTACAGTACTATGAATAATTTTTAAACTTTTTACTTTTTTTTTTTCTTACAATTAGTAATATAAGAAAATAATGAAGCAAAAGGAGTAGCAGTGTTAGAGATGAAGAAGAGGAAAAACAAAAGTTTTATTTAACGAATAGTGGGTGTTTGAAATTTTTCGTTAAGATCGTAAAAGGTTTGTCGTGTCCCGTTAAAGGTATCTTTAACTTTTTATTATAGTTCCCAGCTTTTTCTTTTATTTTCTTTTCTTACGAGATCGTTTCGATTAAAAGTCGCTAAACGCGTAATACTTCTTTCATGATCTTTTTTACTTTTTCGATTACTTATCCGAATTTTCTATGGAAACTCGTGCAACTTTTTTTAAGAGAAGAAAATAGAAAAGAAAGAAAAATGAAATCGGATCAAAAATTAGGTTCGTTCTCGATTGAGGTCATAATAGGTACGTCGATGAAAGGTACGAAAGGTCAAGGAAATGCCATAGTCTGACATTTGAAGGCACGAAATACCATCAAGCAACCCCTACGTTGTCTTTTCCGTTCGTACTTTGATTTTTTTTTTCTTCTATCTAATTGTTTAAAGTCTCCTTTATTGTGGATACACGAAATTTGATTAATAAAGTAATTTCATGATCTACAAATTTATCGTCTAATAATAATAATAATAAATCTTTTGTTCCTTATCAAATTATAATATTTTATTATTATTGCTTATCCGATTAACTTTACGTTTATTTCCCCATTTTTCTTTTTTCCTCCCGTTTGTTTTTTGGTTTTCAGGAATTGGGGTGTTTCATAATAGAACAGTTTAAAATCGTTCCTAGCGAGTCAGGCAACATTATCGAACAATTAAATCCGTTTAATTAATCAGTCGGGTAACGCAATAACGAGCCACGCCATTCGTATATTTCGACAGGAGCAATAGCTAATTACATAATATCTAATAAACCGTAAAGCGGATATTGAGAGAGTAATACGATGATTATACGATGGAGTGTCGTTACGTTACTACTACCTTTCAAAATATGCCAACGATTTATGTAGCTTGCCCCTGGTCGAACATTATCTAAATTTTTATTTCATTTAATTATGATTATTTCATTTAGGATCTAACAATCGTTGAAACGTTAATAATTAATTATTACGAGTTTGAAATATAGATTTTATTCTTCCCCTACTATTATTCATTTATTTTTTCTTTTTCTTTTTTATTTTAATTTATCTGTGTCTTTTTTTTTATATTTTTTAATTTTATCTAACTATTGTATAATATGAGATTATTTCATTTATATTATTATATTTATAATTGATATAATTTTAATATATATATATTTATATTATTTCATTTTTTTATAATTAAATTTATAACAATTTTCTTTGTTCAAATTTTCGGATAGTTTTTTACTCTACGTCATCTTTTTTCCCCCCCCCCACCGTTTATGAAATTTTCTATCTCTTTTTATCTTGATTTCTGTTTCTATCTCTTTCCCCGAGGTTCTCTTACTCTTAGCAAACGTCGAGAGCATTCTCATCAGCACCCTCACCGAACTCGCGAGTTTTCCGAGAAATTAGTCGAGTTGATTTGCATCTGACGTGCACCTCGAGGCACCCACACGTCGCTCGCATAGTTCGAAACTCTGACTTTCCTTTCGCCAAATGTCTCGACTGTTCCGTACGAAGAGCCGTATACTATCGCGTCAATTATTCTCCACCCTGGATGAGAGGGGGTGGGTAGTACAAGAGACAAAGATAGAGAAAGAGAGAACGGGGAATTTACGAGAATCGTCACTCGGAGTTTCCCATTTACGGGGAAAGGGTTACTGTTTCTGCAAAATTAATATTCCACCCCAAATCTCTTCCTCCTTCTTTTTTTTCATTTTTATTTTTATTCTATTTTTGGAAAAAAAAGTAAATGCATGATATTTCCAAGAATTCCAAGATAATCTCAAATAATTTCTGATATAAGAAAATTTTTCTGCATTTATTTTCATTTGAACAAAAAGAAATAGAAGAAGAAGAAGAAAAATCAGAAAATGTAAGAAAAAGACAGGATTGAGAGATTGTTTATCGCAATGAATATATTTCACGGAAATAAAGTTCCTTTTTCATTTTCGATTATAATTATTTAGAAATAAAAACTATGGAGGCATAAAGGGATCTAGATTGAAAATTCTTCTTCTTCTTCTTGCTAAATACCGCGTAGCAGCTAACCACGAGAGATGTTGCCTGGTTAGAGTTACAGACTTCTGACTTTCATCCCGATTATCTTCACTCGGCAGATACCAGAGGTGTGGAGGAGGTGTTCCGAAGACGTAAGTCTCGGCACGAAGAACTTTCGGCTTAACTCGCTTGTTGTGAATAAGTAAGCGAAGTGTTGCAAAGTCCTGGGAGAAGTTTTCCAAGAGTAGTAGAGGAAGAGAAGAAACGAAGGGAAGGAAAGGGAAGGAAAGGGAAGGGAGGTGAGGTGAGGTGAGGTGAGGTAAGGTGGTGGCAGCCCGCGCCCTTTCAAACGCGAGTTTGCCTCGACTCGAATTAAATTGTTATACGGATGAGCTGCCACGAGTGAAGAGACGTTTTCTTCCCAACGCGTGAATCTTTCATTATCTGTTATCTACCAACTACTATTCTGTGTTTAATTTCGTTTCTACAGTCAAAAATACATGAACAAATAAACAAACAATTCGATTATATTTTTATTTTAACTTTTTCATCTTCAATAGGGTTTTAGGATTATTTGCCAATCATTATAAGATGATTTTTTGGTGTCCATCATTTATGCAATTGCGTAAAATAAAAATACACCAATTTGTATGCAATGACTTTAATATCAAGCCATCGAATTAATTGTTACATATAATGCAACATGATTAACCTTATACAATATCATAATAATTTGAAATAAAATATATAAATCTTACTTGTGATCGCATTCCTGACAGGAAAAACATTCCAGATGATAAACGTTTGTTCTTGCTCTCATGACCATTTCGAAAGCCGGTATGACTTTGTTACATGCCGCACAGTAACCGGTGTTCCCAAAAAGCCTGGACAAAATAAATAAAAAGATAATTATTATTGTTATTTTCAATCGAAAGATAAAATAACTTACATAAGTGGTTCCCCGATAAGGGGACCAAAGAAAATATTAATTTGAACGCTAATACCAAGTTATAATAGGAGGAATAACCTGGTGAAGGATAAAAATCATGGTAACCCGGGATCGTAACGAGTGCCAATAAAAGCTCATGGGGGACATCGTTGGAGAGAGTATGTCGTCTTCAAATATTGGGCCATTAATAAAGGGCACGATGGGTGTTGTTTCGATAGAGGCAGACGGTTGCGACGGCACCTGCCTGCTTTCCCTCGGGAGTTCTCGGCGGGGGTTTAATCTCAACGCAAGGCTTTATTTGCTTCGCTTGTTTAGACGAGGTAAAGGAGGATGAGAAGGAGGTGGAGGTGGAGGTGGAGGTGGAGGTGGAGGAAAATGTGGATGATGTTGTGTATTCAATAAAGGGAAACTCATCTGTAAAATTCGATTTGTTTTTCCACCTCCGGCTATTCCTTTTAGGTTTTTCTTATTCTCTTATATTATTATGCCCACTTTTATACTTCTTATTATTTTCTTTTTGTTTTTCTTTTTCGTTAACTTGGTTTACTTTTATTCCCAACGATAAGAAGAAGAATGACAAAAGATATACCTTAACACAGTGATATCGATAGGATTATATTTCATTTATATTATCTTACCTCAGATAATCTCTTTTGCAAAGAATTAGATTGGCTTTTGTGTAAAGCGTAGAACCGACTTCTCCCAATCTGCAATCGCAGCAACCACACTTCAAACAATCTTCGTGCCAGTACAGGTCCAACGCTTTTAATAAATATCTAAAACAATTACGAAAAGAGAAAATAGATATTATTATAATATATATTAAAAGTAATAATACAAAATCTAACCTTTCGGTTATTGTTTTCCCACATCCAGCGCATTCCTGTTGAGTCGCACCGTTTTTACTACTGGGCTCATTTTTGCTCACGTCCATCATCATTTTTTCTAATCTCCGATGGTTCCACCTCGGAGATTCACTCGACTGTAAAAGTAAATATAATCGAAACAATTTAGATATAAGATCATCTTTTTTGATTTTAATTATAATAATAACAATCGAACTAGTGTGTTGATTATATATAAACGGTTGGAATAAAATCGTGTGTACAATTTGCGTAGCTTTTAAACAAGTTTCACCGGCATCTGGCACTATAGAAACGCGTCGGCTTGTCTATGAGTAATTAGAGTTACGGCTCGAGAATTTAACCACGCGGTTTGGTACCATCTGTGTCCGAGCGTTGGTTGCTGGTGGGTGGCTCGCTGCTGCTGCTGCTGATTCTCTCTATCTCTCTCTTTCTTTCTATTTCTCTGACTATGCGGTCAGAGTTTAGAATCGAATTAGTTTGACCCTCCCTCCACTTATACCGTCCTTAAACAGTCGCCAATTCTCAAACGACCGAACATTTCTCGGGATTTTAGAATTGGAACGTGCCGATCTTTGCAATTTAATCTTTTTTTTGCGTTTTTTTTTTGTTTATAATAATAATACACGGTAGGAGAATCAATTAATTTTTCCTATTAAGTGTAAGACCAATTTTAAATAATAATTTTTGATTAACTTAATATAAAAGATAAGATTTAAGAAATATTTCTGAAGGAATAGATTATTGGATTCGAGTAAACCCGGTTAAATATTTACGAGTAACTTGTTACGAACAAAGTTTATGCGGTTTCGATATGTCCTCTTCCAACGACCACCCTTCCCACCCCATTCCCCCCTTTTATATAGCCTGGACACAATATCGCAAGGAGGTTAATATCTTCCTTGCGGTCGCGACTTCGAAGCAAATATTAATACCTACGAGGATACCTTTGATCGGGTTTCATATTAATTTCAAAACTTTACAATACATTGTCATTTTCCATCATTGATCCTTCTAACGATATCTTATGTCTTCCGTTTGATCATTTGTGTTGAATTTTCGTGAAAATAGTGCAAGGGTTTAAATGATCATACAAATATATCTATGACTCACCATCTGTGATGGGTGAGTATTTTAATCCCAATTAAAGTAGATATTTTTAAGAACCTAATCGAAGGGGGTGGGTCCTGGATAACGCAAAGGTTAACACACAACTCGACCCGCAAAATAATTCCCCTTATAGTCCGGTAAATCAAACTATCTAATTATTTTCACGGAAACCCTAACACATCTATCTATCATTTATCCTATCCGTTTATCTATTCAACTATCTAACGAAAATTAGTTAGGTTATATTTCTTAAATGAGCAGAGATCCAATACAACAGGGTTATATAAATGTTCTATCGAAGGATTATTAATCTGACGAAATTTAATAGGGGGAAACGTTTTAGCGCATTAAAACGTAGAGAGAGTGAGAGAGTGAGATAATGAGAGAGAGAGAGGAGCCGGCACCCCGTCAGTCGCGAATTGTGCCGACAACAACGCGTTTGGATTACCGTTGTTCCATTATCGTTGAAACGAGAGCAACTTCGGTTACGAGAATCACAACGAGGCGAGTTAATTAATCGAGTTGAATCGATTATACGCTTTACTCCCCCTATTCCCCTTCCCCCCATTCTCTCCCCCCGTTCCCTGAAACTCTCCGCACCTCCGCCTCCTATCAAACCCACCCATCCTCCCAAACTCCTACCCCGTACACCTCTTCTTCTATACCGGCTACCGATAAATTGAGTTCGTTATAAATAATAGTACAATAATTATTATTCGTAAGCGTGCTGCAAGCCCTACCTACCTACCTACTACTACTACTACTATTACTACTACTACTACTACTACCATCACCTATGAAAGAGGAGGAGGGTAATGATTAATGGAATAACTAACCAGCGTACGGGGGTAGGTAAATTATGCAAACTATTAAATCCGCTCGCGCACAAAGTTTCCCCACATAATAATTACGTGACGAATGTTTCACCGTTAAAATCCATAAGTTCGTCGCTCTGTTCTCTCTCTCTCTCTCTCTCCTCTCTCTTTCTCTCTTTCTTTTCTATCTTATCGCAAGGAATTACGTTTACGCGGGAATTTTCTTCACGGTCGGCGGCAGTGGTGGTGCGTTGTTATTCGTCTTGAATTAAATCCACGTTAATATACTTTTTACACTTTCCACACGCGATCCTTTTAACCAATGAAAACGAATCAGAATGGTAAATTTTACTCTTCCATCTCGTCGTATTTGATACGATTGAACTAACTGTAAAGATAAAAATTGATCCCCATTTTTTTTTGTATGGTTTTACTTTTTTTGTTCTTCTTTCCGTATTTTGTTTTCGTTTTGATCGAATTGATACGTTTTTTATTCGCGCGCTCGTATCGGTTAAATAAAATAAAATAAAACAAAAGAAGAAGAAGAACAAAAAAAGTAAAAATAGAAAAATTACAAAACAAAAAAACAGAGAGAAAAATTTGGGAATAAATCAAAGAACAATTAGATATAATAAAAAATAAACACACATTTTACAACGTCACTCGTGTAAAATTTGATTGTTCATGATTTGCTTTGGATGAGACGAACGACTCGTTTGTACTACGTAGTTAAACGGAAATAAGTTGAATTACATATGCCGGTATGGCAAAACGAAAATTCCTGTGGACTCCGACCTAGATTCCAAAGGAGACCTCAGGAAACCTTCGACGAACCCGCCTGGCCAGTCGATTTCCACTTTGTTATACAATTTGTGTGAAGGCACACGTCTCCTAATTCTCCTACTCTCTCACTCTCTTTCTCTCTCTTTCTCTTTCATACCACCAGGAAAGTACCACTGAGGAGAACTTAAAAAACCGGGCATTGTTGTGGCTCCCTCAAAGCTTTGTTTCAAACGTTACCATGCCGGAACTTCGAAACCCCCTTACGAGGGTGAGAATGTGAATCTAGTAAAAGAGAGAAATGCAGAAAAGACGAACCGAACAACGACCAAGTTCATTCTTTTAACTATGAAACACAACATCTATCTCCGCTTCATTTATTTTTTTCTCTTTTTGTTTTTTTTCTCGTTCGAAAACATAAAGGATAAAATTTTAAAATATCAGGGATTACTCAACGAGAGTTTTTAAATTAGGATTATTGATATGGTTCTTTTTTTTTCTTAACCCTTTTACTGTATTTTGAAGAGTCCGATTCGTAGTCCTAATTTTGGATCGGATATAATTATGATTGAAATATAATTTACCGTGTTTTTTTCTTCTAAATAAAATAGGGAGAATTTATTTAAAAATGAAGAAATGGAAAAGTATTGCTGAACGAGAAAAAAAATAAAAAGAATTCTCAGAAAACATAATCGTGTTCCGAATTAATGACTTTTCTCTGAAGTTAAGGGGAAGCCTTTCTCCAGTGGCGGACACCACACTTAAGGTTTTTAGGAAATAAAATAAAAACTATTTCGAAAAATGTAACTTTATTTATTAATTACGTTAAGTGTCGACACACAAATTTTAGAATCAATATAAATTAACAAAAATCATATAAGACAAATAATCTTAATTTCTATATTGTGTGTCGAGATTTTTTCAGTAAAGTAAAACTCAATTGGTTGTTCTCTGTAACAGAGTTTTTAAAAATTTATTTATCGACTGCATCATATATTTACAATATTTAACAGTCTTACCTGGAACAGAAAAACGACAATTAAAGTTCCCTTTCCCCCGTTACATTTTTTTTTTTTATTAAACTACTTATCTTTTTATTATTGCACTAAAAATCACACACACGTGCTTTCTGTTCTCTTTATTCGTATCTGTCTGTCTCTCTTAATTTATCAATCCATGTTGCTAAATTCAACACTCTAACTGCGATAGCACGGCAAATTCAATTTTAAAGAAAGTCATTTTTTGAGATAATAATATGAGTGTCCGGTGTTAGATGTTGTCCGACGTTAGGGGAGACTTTCCTTTACAATATGTTGATGAGAGTTTCAACGTAGGATGTAATTACTTTAACTGTAGGTTGTAAACACTCGGTAAATCATGTTTGATAATTTCATATTACCGCACGAGACTGGTCAAAGCTAACGTTACGAGTATTTACATCGAATTTCCTAATTGGTGTTTATCCGGGACTAGCTTGGAAAAAAAGCAAAACGTTTAAGTGCATACGCATATGTATTTGCTATGTTTAACGTGGTCAAAAGGTCAACGAAGCAGAGGCAAAGGCATAGGCAGAATGCTTCGTTGCGAACGTAACTGAGCAAAAAAAAAAATAAAAAGAAAGAGGGAGGGAGAGGGAGTTCATAACGAGAGACACGTTCCTTTCGAAAGTAGCTCGCATCGTTGGCGACCTGTTCGTCAGGTACGTGATTGGATCATCCACGGACGGTGATTTTCAAAGCGACGATAATTTGATTATCCGTTACACGTTCGACAACCGCTAACTCGGCTGTTGTAACCTGGACCTGCTTGAAAAGGCAGCCTGAGAGCTAACCCTTCATCCCTTTAACCCCTCACATCCCCCTCTCCAACTTTATTTCTCGCTCTCCCTGTCCTCTCTCTCTCTCTCTCTCTCCCGTATGTCAGGTTCGTTTTCCTTTGTCAAATTTTCTCCCACGCTCATGGGAATAAGCTTAACTGTCGCTTTTAAGAACAACTTTGTGCAAAATTGTTACGAATCTCCCTTGCTTTTAAATATTCCGTTCGTCGCGTTTTACTTTAAAAATGAAAACAGAAAAAAATTCTATTATTTTTCATTTCTTACCATCTATAATAAATGATTAAATTAGATCGAACAACAATAAATACCGTTTAAAATGTGGGAATTCGTGTTCGAGTCAAGCTGTCAACGCGTTTATACATTTCCAATCAAAAATTCTTATTAATAATTCTCTCAAATTAACCAGAGTAAACCACCGTACCTATTAATTACCTTATTCAAATTTCTTCGTTCGAACATTTGAGTAGAATCAACGTGTTTCGCAGAAAAAAAAAAAAAGAGATTTGAAAGGGAATAAGGGGGTAGAGAAAGAAGGGTAGAGAAAGAAGGGTAGAAAGAAGGTAAAAGAAGTTGGGTG